TTCCTCTCCGCTTCTCTCTGCCGCTCTATCGTCTCTTCTTCTGTGTTTCTCTCCCTGTATCGCTCACTCGTCTCTTTCGCCCCGTCGGTTAAAATAGAATCGCCCCGTCAAAATTGAAATCTCCTATTAATGTATTGATTATACGTCCGGGTCCGTATAGGTCGACGTCTGGGTCCGGACCGCGGTCTGCCTGTTACTGAACTATGCCCTAGGACAGGGATGGGCAACTTATATGGTGGTGGGGGCCACATAATTGATGTACTGGCCACCAGGGGGCCGCGGATTCACTTGGAACACACACACACACAAATTCCATGTATTGTATGTAGGGCTGTCAGTCGATTAAAATATTTAATCGCAAATTAATCGCACATTTTTTATCTGTTCTAAATGTACCTTAGAGGGATATCTTTCAAGTTTTTAATACTCTAATCAACATATGAGTGGACAAATATGCTTTATATGTTTGTTTATTATCATTTGAACAATGACAAATATTCTCATGAATATTAAACACAACAACCTCTGAACATTACAAATATTCGCTTCAATTCAACCTGGAACCTCTCTCATACAATAATACTGTGTGTGTGTGTGTGTGTGTGTGTGTGTGTGTGTGTGTGTGTGTGTGTGTGTGTGTGTGTGTGTGTGTGTGTGTGTGTGTGTGTGTGTGTGTGTGTGTGTGTGTGTGTGTGTGTGTGTGTGTGTGTGTGTGTGTGTGTGTGTGTGTGTGTGTGTGTGTGTGTGTGTGTGTGTGTGTGTGTGTGTGTGTGTGTGTGTGTGTGTGTGTGTGAGAATGTGGAGACACTGTGATGGATCGTTGGAGCTATGTGCAGCTCAAGGCATATATGCTCCAACGGGAGCTGCCTGGATGCTGCAATCATGTTGCGCGTACTATCCGTGCTGAGTGTGCTGACTTTTCGTACAATGTCCCACTGTCTGGCTACCTGCATAAAGTCAAGTGCTCGGCGCAGTTGTCGGCGAAATGTCATTGAAACAGCTCCTTATATCCGTTAGCGCAGCTAGCTAGCACCAGATGCTAACAACAACAACACGTAAGGTGTGCCTCGCTCGCGCGAGTCGCGCCACACATACACACACCCTCCCGGTCCTCCCGATGGCCAGTCCGGGCCTGCCAGTGAGCGTGGAAGTGTGGTCTGCCACAAGCGGGCGGTAGGAGCGGGGCTGTCAGCATCAGCTTGTCGATGGTATTTTAAACTCGATGCGCTCTGAAACTACGGCGGCCGAGGACAAAAAATACACATGCGTTAATCGCGTTAAAATAATTAGTGGCGTTCATTTTTTTTTGCGTTAACGCGTTATTAACGCGTTAACCTCTTAAGCCCTGAGCCTGTTTTTCAGGTCTCAGGCTCGAAAATGACATTCCCAGAACAAATGACCATATCTTCCCTTCTAAAAGGGTTAAATTAATAATCTTTATTCTCAAAGTAATGATAAACCTGTGAGTTGGATGTAGAAAAGTCAGAATCAATATAGATGTTTTTTATTTTAAAGAAAATTCAGATTTTACATAGTAAAAAACTGTAAATTATAGTGTCCGTCCAAAAATTATTTTTTACTTATAGTGAAAACTACCCTTGGATGATGGGTTAGTAGACTAAAAGCTTTAGGAATCCAAAGTACAACATATAATAAGTACCCTGTATCAAGATTGATGCAAAACAAGTGAAATTTGACCTTTTTAGAGAGATTTAGCCAAAAACCCCCACTTCTGGGGTCATTTGGGTGGATTTGACCTATCTCTGGCCCCCCTTGGTCAATTTTGATGAATGAAATCTCTTTATAACCGCTAGAGCCAATGGAATCGAGGGAAAGTTATATACACACCAAAACGTTAACAAATAAGGAGTGAGAGTGACGCGTTACCAAAACCGGAAGCTGCATACACTCTGGTGGCTACCATTAGCAGCTAACTTTTCCGCTCCGATTTTTACATAAAAAATGGAATTATGGATTATAAATAATTTTTTAAAAGGTACAGGTACATTATCAACCTATGGATCAACAGTTGTAGACATTTTCTTTTTCGTTTTAATGCCATTGAACACGTCTTTTGACCTAATTGACAGCTACGGTGAGACGATCTGCCGTAAAACCTCCGTAAAGGTACGTGTTGTGATGTCTGTGTTTGCTTCCCCTGTCGCAAGTTCGGATCGCTCAGTGATGATACTATACCTAAATAATCAGTGGAGTCTCAGCTTTAATAGGCTATATTGTATGTGCAGCTACGATAAGTAATAAGGGTATCTTTATCTTGAATTGTGTGCCGCAGTGCGTTAGAATTTTTTCGCTCAGGGGTCATTTAGACCCTTCTTATGAGACTTGTGTTTTGTTTTGGTAAAAATGGTTCATATCTTCAGTTAGCTGAGATTCTTCCTGTTAATCTGGTGCTACACATTAATAGTTTCATAAATGTTAAGAAGCCCTGAGACATTATCTCGAAAACAAAAAGGTGGGAGGGGTCCAATGGGGGGACCGCCGTGCTTAAGAGGTTAACTTGACAGCCCTAATTGTATGTAATTATTAGTTGTATTAAAAAAAAAAATAGCCTACATCCAGGGGAGATGTGATTAGTGAGTAAACAAACGGTAAAGGGCAGAAAGTCTGATGCACATTTGATCATCTTAAATAACTTATAATCACAACGGGAACAGTTTGCAGAGCTGTGCTTCGTTGACATAAGTCCAGCCATGCGTCACGCCTCTTTTAAACATCACTTTTATAGCTCCTCCAGAGAGACTCCTCTCTCCTCTAAATCAGTGTATCCTTGGTTACTGCTCATCCAGACAGCCTCCTCGATAATCGATCCTCGACGAGCCGGGCAGAACCTGCTGTCTCCAACATAAAGTCCACCTTCCTCATGGCGCGAACCTGGGGATGTCGTTTGGACATCACACGAAGCGACGGGGAGTCGGGGGCATGGGTGGCCTCCGGAAGCACATTCCAGAGCAGAACAGGTGGGGCTGGAGAACGGGGAACTTCCTGCTCTTCCACCAAGGAGAGGAGGGAAAGCTGTCAGGCCGCTCTCTTCTTCTTCCTCGCTTGATGACCGAAAGTCTGGGCCGGCTGTGCCGGTGCAGCTGCTGTCGTGGCTGGGGACTTTCTTGGCCAGCTCGTCCTCGCCTCATGCCTGGGTGGGTTTTGAACCGGGGCGGGATGTGGCTTTGGCTTTCGGGATCTTAAACTGGGAGGGTCGCGAGGCAGCCTGAGCGAGGGTCTGTCGGAGGCGCTGGCTGGACCTTCCGGGGAAGACAGAGCTGGAGAGTGTTAGTAATTCTTGAACCCTGAGAGCAGGACAGACTGAAAAGAGTCAAGGGAAGCTTATAAAAGTTAACAGCATTTAATTACACAAAAAAAGCGGTGATGTACAAATGAAATGTGCGAGTGGAGGCGCTCTCCCCCATCAGTTGTTGCCTGTCGCGTGTGCGTTCGGTCAGCCGAGGTCAGGAAAAAGAGGTTGATTCTTGGCTTGCTCTTCCTGTTGTCATCTGTGGTTGTGGTGGCGTTTTAATCCTTCTCTACAATTTAATAGCCACCTCTATCGGGTTGTGGGTTTTGACGCGCCTCTCTTTGTTTCCAAACAAATGAGCTGAGAACATGGTTAAGTCAGATGAGCTTTATTCGTTAGTCCACACATTTCTTCGCTTCATCTTAAATCAAAGTTAATAGTCTCCACAAGAACAAAAAGAACATGGTCAAAAGACTTTTCCGTTTCCCCGTCTCATCACCATCAGCTGTGTCCCATCAACCTACCATATATAGGCATATAGCCATGCATGTGATACTGACGCACATAACAAATAATAAGTGAGCCTTAAATTAATACATTTTAAACCATAGTATGACTCACAAAAATATCTTTAGATGGTGAGTTTAATCTAATTGATATTATTATCAAGCCTAACTATCAGACAATAATAACTCAAGGAAAATGGCTCTAACATACCAGCCCCTAATTGCTTATTACATAGCAATTACCAATTATAATATATCAAGAGTCATTTTAACAAAACATATAACATCCATACGTAGCATAGTATATTGCATACTTTCAAGTCCACAGTAAGACCAGTACTGAATGTGTAGGTCTAGTACTAATTGTCTGTAATGTTCTGCTGTTCAAAAGGCAGCCTTTGATGGGGAGGTAGGAGACCAAGAGTCTAGTCCTTTGGTCTAAAAGTCAGAGGTGCACGTGACTGAAAGGCTAAGGCTTAGTAGGCTCAGTCTGTTGTCTCCAGGAGCAGACATAACTTAGTTATGGGTCTTTCAATGGTACTTGTCTTGGTTTTAACCAGGACACTCCTAACAAGTCATGTTGATCCAGGAAGGGTCTTAACTACACGTCCCAGGAGCCAAGTGTTCCTCGGTGCGTTCTCATCAACGATGACGACCAGGTCTCCGGGGGTGAAGTTTCTTTTGATAGTATTCCAGTTGGGCCGTTCTTGCATCAAAGGAAGGTATTCCCTGGTCCAGCGCTTCCAAAACAGGTCAGCAAGGTATTGCACCTGCCTCCTGGCTGAAGAGTTTGCAGCTGATAGCCAGTAACGTTGAAGGAGTTTGGAGAGCATGTGACCTGAGTGACCAACTTGATGATGTATGTGGCTTAGTATCAACTTGGAAATACGAGAATGTTTAAGTAGAATCATTGGATGTTTGAAGTCAGTTGGCATAGCCATCTTTGTAGTTCTTCCTCCAACTCTCAGAATCCCAGCATCAATGATAGAGTCCAGCTTGTATAGGGAGCTTCCTCTATTGCACTGTTTGGCTTTTTCCAGCAAGGCAAAATCCTCTTTGAAATGCTGTCTCTGCTCGTGGCAAATAATGGCCTTTTCAGCATTTTCCGTGTCCTCTACTGAAAGTCTTAGTGCATTAGCTGTAGGCCTTTTGAGCAGAAGCATCTGATCCTTCAGTCGCTTTCCTTTATCCTGCTTTACTCCAAGATCAGTGGAGCAATCTTTCCTCTCCTCTGCAGGAGCTTTCGGTCATCAGCTGACATTTGTCTTTCCTCTTCATACTCGTTTTCTGGAAAGTCATTAATATATTGTCTTTCATTAAGCTTCTCAAGGTGAACAATTGAGGTCCTGTTCACTACTGCCACAGGGGTTTCATCATCCGGATCTGTGGAAGCATTAGGTGGACCATTAACGACCCATCCTAACAGTGTTTTCACTGCATATGGGCCGTTTCCTTGGGTATTTATAACTTTCCATGGTTCCATAGCCTTTGGAGTATTTACTCCAATAAGAAGTCCCACGTCAGCATCTAATTCTCTTATTTGGATTTCCTGCAGATAAGGCCATTTCTTGAGGTCCGCCTGGGTAAGAATGTTTCTTTTGGTAACAGGGATTTTGTTCTGAGTGTAAACCTTGGGCAACTTTATATATGTGCCATCTTCCACATTGCCCACTTCTAGACCCGTTACCTCAAAACTCCTGACTGTTTTCTCTGTTCCCATCGTTTGAAGAAGGACTTCAGTTCTCCGTCCTCTAGCACCAAGCTGCCTCATGAGCCCCTCTGTGCAAAATGTGTCGGTACTACCAGGGTCCAGGAATGCATAGGTCAGTATACTTTTATTTCCATGGCAGAGTTTCACCTTCACTGGCACTATGGCAAGTATGCTGTCTTTACCAGCCCCGATTCCTTCACCTTCTCCTACTGAAACAAGAGCACTGCTGATGGATGTCTCTTCAGGCCTTGCTCCTCCACTCTTCTGCTCTGTCTTATCATGTTTAAAGTTCTCAGTTTCAGGCTTAGAAGATCTTTTAATGTGCAGAATAGTTGGGTGTCTAGCATGACAGATTTGACAGGTCATTCTCCTGTTACAGTTCCTGCTCAAGTGCCCCACCTTCAGGCAGCCAAAGCATAGTCCTTTCTCTTTCAGAAACTCAATTTTAGCTTCATGAGATATTGAATGTATTGTATGGCATTCAGCTAAAGGATGCATGCTGGTACAAAAGGTACATGAGGTGTCATTGTTAGTGGAGGAAATGTAGCTTTTAACAAGATAATTGTCTTCTTTGGGTTTCTCTGCATGGCTGTCTGACACTATAGGCCACTGTGGTAGCAAAACTGCTTCCCTTGCACTTATTTCGGCTTAAATCAGCAGGAGTTGTAATGAAAGTCTTTGTACTGTTAAGTTGATGATCGTGAATGTCACCAAAGAGAGGGTCTTGAAGTATTCTAGCTTGTCTTTCAATAAATACAACAAGGTCATGCAATTTTGCTCTTTGATGGCTCCGATCCAGAATATCACAAGCTGCTGTTCTCCACTTCTCCCTTAGTTTGTAAGGTAGCTTTGAAAGAATAAGCCGTAGGTTGGATGGCAGGTCCAGCTCCTCCATGTCCTGCAGATCCCTCATTGCATTACAGCAGCCTCTCAGAAAAAGTGCATAACAGTGCAGTGACTTTCCATCCTCTGCCTTTATAGTGTTCCAGTTGAGAGCTTTTCCCATATATGCGTTTGCTATCTTGAGCTCATCTCCAAAATGCACTTTTAGCAGTCTCTTAGCTTCAGCAAAGCCACTATTAGCATCCATATGAAGGCAGCTTCTCACCAGTTCCCTGCAGGATCCCGAAGTATATTGTTCCAGGTAATATAATCGATTCTGGTTACTGGTGGTTTTCTCCTCAATGCCATGTTGAAATGCCCTCACAAATATTTGATAATTCAGGGGATTGCCATCAAAGACTGGGATTTCCCTAGTGGGCAGTGATGTTTGCTTTTGTTGAAGTACAAGTAAATTAACAATGTCATTTTGTCTCTGCATCACAGTCAGGAAATTGTCATTATTATTTGTCCCTGTAATTCCTGCATCTCTAGCTGTGTGTTGAGGGCTTTGGTTTGTATTATCAATATTTTCTGGTGGTCTTGGTTGTTGGTATAGAAGCCTTTGAAGTGGTGTTTTGGGAATGGCTCCAAACTCAGCAAAGGTAATTGGAGACGGCTCTGCATCCATTGACATATGTGGTTTTACTCTGTAGTCTTTTACATAGTCATTCATGCCGTCTTGTGTTGGATTTTGTGAACCAGTCTCAAAATGCTCCAGAACTTTCATTTTTGCATCAGATTCAGCTAGGCTGGCTTCCATTTCCATCCGTTCGAATCTAGCTTGCAGTTGAGCTTGCAGTTGAGCCTTTTCCATTTCAAGTGCATGCTTTTCCTTTAATCCTGCTGCCCGGGCAAGGAGGGCAGCTCTTTCTGTGGCTATTTTGAGGTGGGTTGAGGAAGCAGAAGAAGTTGTTGATCCTGCTTTTGAGCTCCTCCTGTGTGATGCATTGGAAACACTGTCATGGGGTTCAATCAGTATCTGAGGATCCATTTGAGAGCTTTTCCACATTTCCACATCTTTAAGGAAATTCGTGAATGCAGACAATTTTGGTTCATACCAATCCATTCTCTCAGTTTCCCTTATTTCCTCAGATAAAAGCATTTGAACATGTCCATGACACTCAATAAATTCATTGAGTAACATCTTGAATGTTGCAACAGCTTCATCCACCTTTTCCATATTTCCACCTTGCACCAGTAATGGTTTAATTTCATTCATTCTGCGGGTGCATGCTCCTAGTTTTCCTCTTCGCGATTGGCTGAGAGTTTTAAATCTCTCCTCTGCCGCTGCAACATCAGCTGGAGGAATATCAGGATCCATTGTTTATTTTTTGTTTGTTTTTTCTTCAATTAATCCACATGAAATAAAGTCATTAATATTTCCAAGAACAGTTCTTCGTGAATCCTGTTTTTGTGCCAAACATTCCTTTAACGTCCGCTTCCTTAACTGCGTGATAGTTCATTAATTCATTTCATTGTTTAAGCATTCCAACAGCAATTGTGGATTATCTTCATTTCATATCATCCCCAGTAAGCATCATGATATCACTGGGTGGATTTCCCTTTCGTTTTGTCAAACATCCGTAACTATGCACACATCAGTCCTTGCATTGTTTGATGAAGCGATCCCATTGTAAACAGCGTTTCATTCATAGATTCCGGGCCGGCATGGTTTACTCACGGCCTCCTCCTCATGGCACTTTAGAACGTCCGATCGCTGTTTCCAAAGCAGAGCTGAAATCCACACGAATCCTGTGCTTGTCCTTCGAAGTTTTTATCCACAGTTTACGGAGTCTTTTGACTAATGTGGTGGCGTTTTAATCCTTCTCTACAATTTAATAGCCACCTCTATCGGGTTGTGGGTTTTGACGCGCCTCTTTTTGTTTCCAAACAAATGAGCTGAGAACATGGTTGAGTCAGATGAGCTTTATTCGTTAGTCCACACATTTCTTCGCTTCATCTTAAATCAAAGTTAATAGTCTCCACAAGAACAAAAAGAACACGGTCAAAAGACTTTTCCCCGTCTCATCACCATCAGCTGTGTCCCATCAACCTACCATATATAGGCATATAGCCATGCATGTGATACTGACGCACATAACAAATAATAAGTGAGCCTTAAATTAATACATTTTAAACCATAGTATGACTCACAAAAATACCTTTAGATGGTGAGTTTAATCTAATTGATATTATTATCAAGCCTAACTATCAGACAATAATAACTCAAGGAAAATGGCTTTAACAGTGGTCTTCTCCTATTGGCCGGCGTCGACGGGGGGCGGCTCCAATGCAATTCCTGCATTTTTCTGTTGCTAGATTACATCATTCTGATGTCTGTGGTTATTTAAACATTCCCTGATAAACGTTATTTCAGCGTCAATAAATGTGTTAATCCCAGTGTGTTTAGTGTACAACATCACATGTCATTTCACGGTTTCAAAACGTTAGCCACATGCTAATGCTAACCGGAAATGAAGAATTTTCAGAATAAAAGTGTTAAGTTAATAGTTAGTGTAAACTTCTGTTTTTTTCAGAATAAAACTGCTTTAAATTAAAACCCTGTATTTAATTTAAATTACGCCATATCAACATTGATTTTAATTTCTTACAAGAGCCTAGTCTTCTCTCTTTTTGGCCTCACACCCATTGATGAGACGTGGAGAGAAGGGTCCATCCTCGATAGCCGGAGTGCCGACTTGGAGGGACGGAACAATAACTGGTATGTTACTGTTCAGAAGATAATCAAAAACCTTACCGTTAAAAACGGCGGGGCAGAATCGAGTATTAGCTGGTGTGCTAATATTCAAATCTATGCGAAGCAAGTGTTGCCGGCAAGCGTCCGGCGACCGAAAATTAGCTTAGAGTGGTTCAGTCTATGGACAGTTAAGCTAGCCAGGTTACTGAGAATTTAGAGATGTGCTCCGAAGTGAGAAGAGGTTTTTGAATGACGCTGCGTCGTAGCACAAGCTACTTAAAGGGTGGGTGGATTCCCTGACGTAGTCGTCAAGATCACCAGCCAATCAGGATTGGCGTAATGACATTGATGCTTCTAAGGCATACGCGGTAGTAGTGAGACATCGAAACGAATGTTATGAATGAGAACAATTATTTCCGAGGCACACGTTTATATGATCATTATAGTTATAAAAAAGTAAGAGAATAAATGAAAAACAGGTATGAAATACTATATGACAGTAAAAAAACAATAAAGTTTAAAAGGGGAGTGACTTGTAAAATATCCATAAAGAAATAGTAAATCTGTTTACAGTTCTGCTTCAAATGGGTGTTGAGAGATGTATCCATAGATCTCTTCATTTTGCTCTCAAAGTGCACCAGATTGATGCTTTTAACTTCAATATTTAAAAAACAAATCTTCCCGTGGGAGCATGCCCCCGGACCCCCCTATGTGAGGTCCACACACCACCTATAAAAATACCACTTTACCCCTGCTTACACCTATATGCCGTGAGCTGATTATCGAGCCTTCATTGCAACAGTCGCGGGTACACTGTGTTGTAATATTCTGTTCTATGGACATATAAGTGTCTACATAAACAGATGAAGCGGACTACTTCTCTCATTCCGAGTGTCCATCTTTATTCAACTGGCGCGTAACATGCACACATGCATTACGTCCTCTGTAATCAAAGATCTTGTATTCACCAAGATGTTACATCCCCCTTCTTTAGAAAAGAACAGTATAGCTGCCATAACAAATTATAACCATATGCATTTAAAGCATTTAAACATAAATGTACGTCTTAAGGCACTATATCTACTAATTGTGATTACTCTATCACTGAGGGAATATTATAAGGCTGGTACATCAACATTTAGTAAACACTTCTGCAGTTTAACTTATCTTTTTGAACAGTTGCCCAGAAATAATTCTAATAGATCATGTAGTTCTGCTTCTGAAACAAAACTGTTAACCTGTTTAGCCCTGAGCCTGTTTTTCAGGTCTCAGGCTCGAAAATGACATTCCCAGAACAAATGACCATATCTTCCCTTCTAAAAGGGTTAAATTAATAATCTTTTTTCTCAAAGTAATGATAAACCTGTGAGTTGGATGTAGAAAAGTCAGAATCAATATAGATGTTTTATATTTTAAAGAAAATTCAGATTGAACATAGTAAAAAACTGTAAATTAGTGTCCGTCCAAAAATTATTTTTTACTTAGTGAAAACTACCCTTGAATAAGGTTAAGGTAGACTAAAAGCTTTAGGAATCCAAAGAAATCCATATAATAAGTACCCTGTATCAAGATTGATGCAAAACAAGTGACATTTGACCTTTTTAGAGAGGTTTAGCAAAAAAAACTCCACCTCTGAGGTGATTTGGGTGGAAATTGGGGTTTTACCGTTTCTCTGTAACCCATTGGTCGATTTTGGTGATTGACATCTCTTTCTGACCGTTAGAGCCAATAGAATCGAAGGGGAATTTCCCCCCACACACACATGGTAAAAAAAAGGTGGGGGCTTCGCGCATGCAGTTTTGCATCAGAGCGAACCTATACTCTAGCTCTGACATCTGGAAATGGAAAAGCAGTTTTATTGCTTATGGATTATCAGAAATCATTTCAAAGGGACAGACACATTGGATTAACCTATGGATTAACTTCAGCAGCGTTTTTATCATTTTAATGCCATTGAAGACCACTTTTGACCAGACTACGACACAGGTAAGCCATGTTAGCGTTTTTAGCTACCTAGC